CATACTTGGCTAGTATGCTTTATAAAAATTATGTATGTGTATAATGTAGAAAATTTAGTGACAACAATTTGGATTTTTGCATACAGTTTATATTAAGTTGCATTCTAGTTATTTAAAAATAATTAAGAACCATGTGCTTCAACACAGTGAAAGCTATATTAAAACACACACACATCCTAAAGTCCTCTTCTTACTGACATATGCTCTGCTTCACTCATTAAACCTTGGATTACTCATAGCCCTAAAATGTATTCTCTGCTGGAATTTGACACCAACATTGAAGCACTGCTCTAGAATTAACAAATTAATATCATTACCTTATGAAAAAAAATTTTCACATTTAAGAGACTGCTGTACGGGGGAACACTTCCTCATACTTATTTGGAGAAAACTTGTTTTTCAATAATAACAACACCCAATTTTGAATTATTTCATCAAAAGAATGAGATGATGCACCAGCAGCCAAACTCAAAGCATCAAAGAGCACATTCATATGAATTTCCAGAATGAAACAACTGCTCCATTCAAGGTAAACACTAGTGATGCCCCATCTATATCCCCTTGACCTTCCCATTTCAGTGCACACCCACCTGAATCCCAACTGCTAGTGCCTGTTGCATTGTCCAAGGGTTCTCACCTGCTGCTGGAGGCCACTGTGCCACACACCTAGAGTTCTGGGGATTAAGTACTCCCCCCGGTAGCTCTCAACCAGTAAGTGATGGGAGTGATGTATAACTACCTTAGCTCTCTTGTACCTTGGTAGGATGATTCTGAGGTGTCAGTTTCCCACAGTGGAAGGCGACTTGATAAGGCACTCTTTATTACCTGCCCTTCCCTCCCTGCACTTCCTTGTCACTCCCTTTCCTTCACTGCCCAAGACAACTACTTGCATTTGAATCTTTGTCTTGAGTCTCCTCTGGGGAACCACAAACAAAGCCAAAGCCATAAACTCAGCCCTTCTTACTGCAGAAACCCAAGCACAATTATTGCATGTCTATTTTTACCTCCCAAATCTAAACCTATTTTTAGTTTGGCTTTGGACAACTCTATCTTAAAATGACCAGAAGATCTTGTGGAACCATCTACAAAACATAATTAAATCCTGCAGGATCCACACAGATTTGAAGAACCGAAACCGCCCCCATCCATTAAAAGTATAATCAGAGTGTTTTAGCGGGGTGTGACTCTCCTTGGTAATATTTTTCTATCCTCCCTTTTCCCTTAAGTAAACAGAAGGTTCTCCATCCCCTTAGACAACAGAAGCAATCTGTATTGGCGTTGTGTGTGTGAGTAAAAAATACAACTTTAGAGCAAATTCCAAAAAACATTAGGGGCAGGGATGGTCATGGTCCAGAACTTGCATTTATAACAACTTTCTCCAGATGCAAATTATCTTTTCCAATTTTCTGTAAGTTGCCAGTTGCAGTGTTATATCAGGAGATAATTAATTGGGTATCCATCTTATAGATTTTCTGCAATGGCCATTCTCAAACTGCTTAGAGGAAGTTTATATTTTTTTAAATTTTTAAAAAATTTACCTACTTATTTTTAGAGAGAGAGAGAGAGAGAGAGTGTGTGTGTGTGTGTGTGTGTGCAGGGGACGGGGGCAGAGGGAGAGGGAGAGAGAATCCTAAGCAGACTCCATACTGAGTGTGGAGCCCAGCATGGGGCTCCATCTCACCACTCTGAGATCATGACCTGAGCTGAAACCAAGAGTTGGATGCTTAACCGACAGGCACCACCCAGGCACCCTGGGAGTTTTAATATTTTTAAATAAATAGTTTTTAATACATGTAGAGGGAAATAGCAAATTCTTGCAATCTGTGTGGCCTGGACAAAGTTTCCTGGAAGAATCGGTGGATTCAGAAACTCCTTGAGGCCACTGAGGCTAAAAAAGCCACCAATGACCAATAGTTCCCCAGCAAGTCTGAAGTCAGGAATCTTAATTCATTTGAGGCCAAGATCCAATGTTGATATTGTTCTAAATGGGTGGGAAAAATAACTTGAAACAGAGAAGAGACTACTAATGAACAGCTGAACATGACTCAATGAGAGAATGAACTGAGAGAACAATGAGAAACAAAAAGAACAATGTATGAAAATGCTCTGTCCTAGAATGGAATAACAGGGAAGCAGTCTGAGAGTTCAAGCAAACATCCTCCTCCTTGGTTTCTAGAATAGCACCAACACATTCACAGCCCCAGGTAGCCCCGTAGCCTGTGTGTGGCCCAGAATGTCCCCAGTTGGACTGGATGACTTCTACGCCAGCCATGCCGGGCAGTTATCACTTAGAAGAGTCTGTGGCACCTTTTTTCTATGACCTTCTCTGTACGTGAAACAGATGGCAACTATCCTCAAAGATATGTTCCCAGAAGTCTGAACCCCATTTGCTGCTTTTTAACAACTTTTCAACAACTTTTCTCAGCTTGCCCTGCCTTTAAAAATGTCATCAAACTGGAGATGATGCTATCAAAAGCAGCTTGGTACCTTGAACAGCTTTCTGTCCCGTGTGGTGGGTCATGCCAGGGTCACCTCATAAAAAGTGGGGTCCCCTCTGGAGTCTCTGGTAAGATCTTTAGATACCACTATTTAAATTCAGAAATAAATCATATGAATAGTCGAAGTCCTTTTGCGTTGTCAACAATAGCAATATTAGTAATAACTAACAGCCACTGCACATTGCATAGGTATCTTCTTCGTACCTCGTGTATTATTCTCCCATTTTATCCTACTGCCTTCATGTTACATAACAAGATGTTTGCCTTGGCCCTCTGCTCTTCTTACTCAAATGATCTAAATATCCAACCTGGGTGGTTCTCTCTTGAGCTCCAGACACAGAGTGGTCAGCTCTTTTTTGATGACCTCAGGCCCTGAGCTGGAATACAAACTCAATGGAGGGGCAGGGGGAACCACCTCATTCAGTTCCAACCCAAGCCCTTTGATTCCTCCTTAACTTGGTGGATGGGACTCAACCCACCTATTTTACCAAGCCAGGAAATGAAGCCTTTCCCTGAACTCTCTACCCATCTCCATGCAGTCACTATATCTTCTTAGTATCCTTCCTAGAACTACTGCTTTAACTCTGCCTGTCATCATTCCTTGCCTAGACCACTACTTCCGTGGTCTGCCCAACTCCCAGCTTTGGTCTCAAACTCCTAAAATGAAAATTTGTTCAGGTTATTCCCTGCTTAAGATTCTTGATGATTCTCTAGAGACATCAGAGACATTATCTTGATCTCTTGCACCTAAAGAAGACCCATCCTGATATGGTCTCTGCCTACCCTCCCTGTTTTACTTTTCACTGACTCTCTCTCCCATGCCCAAGTGGACGACCAGTGTTGCTTGTTTTTCATGCCTGCATTGTTTGTCCTTTGTTTCTGAAACCCCTGTCTCCATCCTTCAATATTCAGTTCAGCTAGCACCAGTTCTAAAAAGCCTTCCCTGAACTTCCCCCCCTACCCCACACAGCCAGCACAGGCATCCTTCATTGCACTGAACACCCTGCAGTGAATGAGCTATTCTCTTTCTTTCTTTCCATTTTTTTAATCTCTGTGCCCAATGTGGCCTCGAACTCATGACCCTGAGATCAAGAGTCACATGCTCTACCAATTGAGCTAGCCAGGTGCCCCTATTCCCTTTCCTTTTTTTTTTTTTAAAGATTTTATTTACTTATTTGACAGAGAAATAGACAGAAGAGCACAAGCAGAGGGAATGGCAGAGGGAGAGGGAGAAGCAGGCTCTGCACTGAGCAGGGAACCCGATGCGGGACTCGATCCCAGGATGCTGAGATCATGACCTGAGCCAAAGGCAGACGCTTAACCATCTGAGCCACCCAGGCGCCCACCTATTCCCTTTCCTAATAAAAGACCAAACACTGTGTCTCCTACTTCTGTAACCCTAGAGCTGATCACAGGACCTGGGACATAGCCTACACACTTCCTATTTGTAGGATGAATGAATGATGAATAAGATAGAATTATCCAGCCACAAATTTATGGTATATTTACACTTTACATTTCTTAAACAGTCTGAAAACTGTTCACCTGTCCCCATAAGTACATTCATATTTATCAGTTCAATTGAAACTCTCCTTTTGTTTTGAAAAACAAGATAACCATAGCCTTTTCATCTATCAGTCATTGTTGGATCAGCTTTGGGGGCAAAGGGTGTGATGGGACCTAGTTCATAAACCTTATTTGCCTAGAACAATTTTAATAAATTACCCCATGATTATCTTGGGAAAACTTGAACTGTACTCTGCAAGCTCCAAACCAAATCTATTTTTCCCCATCCTTCTGTATTGTCTAATTATGTCTGTTCTGTCCCTGATCTGTCAAACCATGTTTGAATTATCCTTCTCTCATAACCACATAAGCTCAGCTGAGCCTCAACATATGCTAGCAGAAAACAATAGATAAAACAAACACAAGTAGAAAAATGACAAGAAAAGAACCACAAGGCTTGGTAATCTGAAATGAAAAACAGTCCATCAGGAATTATCTTGCAAAATACGAACAGTCTTGAGAAACGGTGAATGGAACATTAGCCTTGAACCCAAAAATATCCCCAGAGAGGTCACCATTCTAGCACAGCTCTGGAGATGGATACTAAAAATTTGCGTTTGGGATCTGAAATGCCCAGCCTGCCCAAAAGTGAAAACATTGGCAGTCAGAGAGAAGTGGATTTAGAACATTGAAACCCATATGGGCACCCCACTCTGGGAGCCATGTGTAACGTGAGAAGCTCCATAAAACTGAAGCACTATTAACGATCAGAGACAAAGAATTGCAGGATTTTTGGTGACAAAGCCCCAAAAACCATGTGGGCCTATTATTTTTAGCTAGAGCTGGGGGAGGAATTTTTACCAGCTTGAGGGGTAGAGAAGGCTGCGTAGAAGCTAGAGAGGAGATCCAAGAAGGGGTGGGATTAAAGTTAGAGCCAAGCAATTCACCGGGTGAAGAACAAATCAAACCAACTTCTGGAGGTGGGGCAGGCCGACAGTGTAGTCAATTCTGGGGAGGTTGTCAGAGCGACGGGTCTGCCGAAGGCAAGGAACGGAGTCACAGGTTAATAGCAATGAGCCTTCAGGCAAAAGTCCAAGAGTAGGTTTCAGCCCAAAGGTAAAGAGACTCTTCTTTGATCCCTACTTCGTCATAAAGAATGGAGCCCAACGTAATGGAAGACAGAACTGCAGCCACCAAGAGGCATACACCAGTAAGACCACCTTTGTTTTACTCACGGCTGACTTTACTCAAGCCTTGTTCTCTGGCTCATGGCCTATTTGATTCCATTTTAGTAACTAAGTTTGTTATCAGTCATTTCTGTCTTGGGAAAGTTTCACTTGAATTCAGATTTTATTGTACTTTTATACTGCAGTTCAAAATTTCCATCTCGGGGCTTCCTCATGCTTCTCCCATGCATTTCCTTGCCTTCTGCTCTGGGTCCTGTTTTTAATTTCCCAGAGTGCTTATGCATGGGTCACCTGGCAGTGGCAGGGAGGGACAGAGGATTTAGGCATATGAGGGCTTTGGAGTAGAAAGGGGAGAGGGGTCCATTCCTTCAGCCGGATGCAAGCCTTGCACGATGGTGGGTGTGGGGGCTGGGCTGTGGTCACATCTTTGCTGACACTTTCACTGGCCTGGTCTCTTGCGCTGGTCACACCGAGTCCTGGCTCTCTCATGATCTGCACTGGTGCTTTCCTGCAGGAGTCCATCCCTCCACTCTGTGGATGGTATCCTCCATCTCACTCGGAGGCATCGAGAGGATCATGGTGAGCTGGCTGCACCCCATTTAGCTTCTGGGGCCACTCCAGATAGTTTCTGAAACACTAGGAATTCCTACCCCACCGACTTGTCTCCTTAGAAACCCAGAAATGGTTTTTGCCTTTACATTCCTCTATTATTTTCTAAATTTTTCTTTCATGTCTAGGTGGACAGTATGTGAGAAGTTTCTGCCTCTCTTCATCAGAAGAGGTGGAAAATTCACTCAGGTTAGAGGAAGAGTTCTTAGGGTCCTTCGAAAGCTGTTCCATCCTGGTTTCCATTTAAATATTCATTTTTTTTTAAAGATTTTATTTATTTATTTGACAGAGAGAGA